TATATATATTTGTTTAGAGTATATGATATAATATTATTAATAATTAATAATAATAATTAGTATTAATAAATAATAGACAAGCAAATAGAGATAATATAAACAAATATTAATTAATAATAAACAGACAAACGAAGAGACATAAACAAAAACAAAAAGGAATACAGCAGCAGTAATAAATAAACAAAAATCAGCAAATAAAATGCATGCATATACACCTCAAATGCTGAGGTGTATATGCATGCTGCATCTATCCTCAAAGGGTTGAGGTGTATAGGCAGCTCTATTTGTTTACCTGTGTTCATCTCTAGTAAGAAGATCGGCAATTAATTTTAATAAACGAGGTGCATGTACACCTGAAGTTAGCTGCAGCGCCCACATGTCGCTTACGCGTCTGTTGTTGCATAAAACAGCTGCAGCAAAACATAACACACGCATCACAGCTGCTGCTGCTGCTGCTGCTGCTGCTGCTGTTGCAGCTTCCGGCGAAATTGGTGTCTCCCCACCGGATAGACCTGTTGCTACTGTTGTCGTTGCTGCTGCTGCTGCTGCTGCTGCTGCTGCTGCTTACCTAGGCTTTGTAAAGCTGGTACGATCCCATCGGCCCCCGTCAGCTGCAGTCTCTCTCGCAACAAGGCATCACCATCTTGCTGCTGCTGCTGCTGCTGCTGCTGTTGCTGCTGCTGCTGTTGCTGCTGCTGCTTTGCTCTGTCTGCGCCTTGCAGCGCCATTTCAGCAATCTGCAGCAGTGTCTGTCCCAGAGAGGGGCATGCAGCAGCAACAGCAGCAGCAGCAGCAGTGCGGCAACCCCCAAGCTGCCGCTCCCCCTGCTGCTGCTGCTGCTGCTGCTGCTGCTGTGGAGTGTGCAGCAGCAGCGACCGCAGTTCAGCATTAAGGCACCACAAGACTTCACACACTGCAGCACGGCGATTATCTGCTGCACTGTACAGCAGCAAAGCTTGCTGCTGCTGCAGCTCTACCTGCAGCAGGGCCTCTAGAGTCGCCACCTGCTGCGCGAGGATCTCCGCTTCTGCTGCTGCTGCTGTTGCTGCTGTTGCTGCTGTTGCTGCTGCTGCTCCAGAGTCGGGGATGTGGCGCTGCAGGTTTGCACACAATCGAGCAGCAGTTGCAACCAGCTGCACCGCCTGCTGCTGCTGCTGTTGCTGCTGCTCTTGCTGCTGCTGGTCGTTGCCCGTGCTGCTGCTTTGCGGTGTATAGGCAGCAGCAAACTGCTGCTGCGCCTGCTGCAGCAAACGCAACGCTGGGGCTGAAGCCCCTAGAGAAGCACTTGTTGACGGCCAAGTTGCTGCGACATTCGCAAGTGCAGCAGCAGCACGAGTCTGCAGCAGCTGCACCAACTGCTGTTGCTGCTGCTGCAGCTGCTGCACTTGGGAGGGATCTATTAGAGGCAGCAGCAAGGGGACGGTTTGCTGCACTGTCTTTTCATCTACAGGGACAGCAGCTGCTGTCTCCCCGAGGCAGCCGCATGCATCCGCTAGCAGCTGCAGCAGCAACGCCTCGTGCTGCTGCTGCTGCTGCTGCTGCTGCTGCTGTGCAGCTGCAATGCAGCGCTGGTAGAGGGGAGTAGCTTGTTCAATCGCAAGCAAAAAGACAGTGTGAGCGTCCCCTTGAAATGGCGCAGCAGCATCTGCTGCTGCTGCTGCTGTTGCTGCTGCTGCTGCTGCTGCAGGGGCAATATCTTCTGGTGTCTCTGCAAGCTCATCTAATAGATTAGGAAAAGTATACATAAGCCCGAACAACTGCTGCAGAGCATGCGCTTGCTGCTGCAGCAGCAGGAGCAGACTCTGCACTTGCTGCTGCTCATAGTCCTGCTGCATATGTTGCTGCTGCTGCATATGCTGCTGCTGCTGCTGCATATGCTGCTGCTGCTGCTGCAGCAGCCGATACAGACCCCCTAGCAATGGCCTCAAGGGCTGCGGCTGAGGGGGGACGTCTCCTTGTAATGCTTGACGCACTCTGTTATTCGTCTTTATAGCTTCTCTTTTAGTCTTTCGGACAGATAATAGAGCTGCTCTTCTTGCTGCTTGTTTTAAGGTGCCTCCGCACATTTGCTTCACAGACTGATGCTGATAAACAGAGGGCTGGGGGCCCCCTGACATTAAACTTAAGTCTAAACCCTTTTTATTAGGGGCCCCCTTCATATTTATCAAACCCATAGAACAGGGGGGCCCCCCACCCTCATCATTCAAACCCTTAAACAGGGGGGCCCCCCCAGATCCAACACAAGAAGTCATAGGGATAGGGGCCCCCTGGGGGCCCCCATTGTTAGTGGGGGCCCCAGGGGGGGGCCCCCAAGGGGGTACCCCTGAGGGGCCCCCAGGAGACTCGGGGGGCCCCCCTGGGGGCCCCCCAGGGGCCCCCATAGATGAAGAACCGCCAGAGAAGGAGGGGATAGACATTTGTCTAAAAAGAAAAGAAAAAGATAAAGATAAAGATAAAAGGACGAAGATAAATAAATAAATATGTGTACTGACAAATGAGAGAGAGATAAGAAAAAGTAATAGAGAAGACCCTATTGGGGTGATGCACAGGCTAAAGACACAAAGCAGAAGCAGCAGAGGCACCAACAGCAGCAGAAATAGCAACAGCAATAGCAGCAGAAAAAGCAGCAGCAGAAGGTACGAGATGAACGGACAACACCTGCAGCTGCAGCAAGAGGAGCAGCAGAAGGTGTTGTTGTTCTGTGCTGTTGCTGTTGCTGCCGCTGCTGCTGGTGGTGCTGCTGCTCTTGTTGTTGCTTATCCTATATTTGCTGCTGCTTATTCTGCTGCTGGTCTCTCTTTGCTGCTGCTGCTGCTGCTGTTGGGGCCCTTCTATATGTTGAAGGCAAACAAACTGCAGCAGGAGGGTAGGGGGGCCTCTCCGTGATGTTATGCATGCATTTTAATGAACAAAGGCGACGCTTCTTCCTTTTAATTGAATATTTAAAACCTTCAAATGCCTCTAATCTCCAAAAGACAAAAGAAAAGAGAAAGAATCCTGTGCGTAGGTACACCGCAGCCGGTAGGCTGGGGGGGGCAGTGCTGCAGCAGCACTTAAGCTTATAATTAGGCTAAAGAAGGAGAAAAAAGAATATTAAATTAAAATTAATTAATTAATTAATTAAATTAATATTTTACTTGAATTAATTAATCTCTTAATTCAAAATATTTATACAGAAGGAAGCAAATTCAGTGCCCTCATTAGTGGTGCCTATACACCCGAAGAGGCTGTGCACAGCTGGAGTGTATAATGAGCAATAAAAGAAATTTAAAGATTTTTTCATTACATAATTTAGATAACTAAATTAATCTAAGTAAAAATACTAAATAACTCCCCCTGAGAAACCCTCCTTTCCTGCTGCTGCTGCTGCTGCTGCTGTGCATGCAGACGAGCGAAAGCAACAGCAGCAGCAGCAGCAGCAGCAGCAGCGCAGCAGCAGGATGATTAGCCGTGGGGTGTCTGTGCATCTGGTTGTTTCTCTGTCTGTCTCCCTTTTTTCTTTTTCTTAATTGAATATTTGTTGATAGAGATAATAATAATATTTATTGTTTTTGTTTTATTGCTGTACTTATAGATTTTGATACACAGACGCCGTAGACTACTTAATTGTTTCTCGTCTGATCATCATAATTATATTTCTTTTCTTTCTTCACAATGTCTGTCCCTGACTTCGGTAATTTAAAGGGGGATGCAGGCTTAGAGAAGTTAAATAGTTATCTTTCAACACGTTCTTATATCACAGGCTATTGCGCTACTCAAGACGATGTATATACACTGCAGAAGCTGCTCGGTCAGCCCTCTCCGTCTAAATACCCTCATGCATACAGATGGTATAAACATATTTCTTCTTTCTGCGCATGCGAGCAAAAGACTTGGAAGCAAGGAGAGATAAAACAAACAAAAGAAAAGCAGCAAAAGGATGATGATGATGATATAGATCTCTTCGGTTAGCAAACACATGTATATATATATATATTTATATATATATTATATTTTATTTGTATATTGTATGTATATATTATATATATTATATATATATATATATTATGTCTATGTCTTTATATCTCCTTATGTATGCATATATTTGTGCATGTATATATATATGTATGCATATGTGTATTTGTATTCATTTATTTATATATATATATATAAATATGTTTGTATATAACATATATATATATATATATATTATATATTTGTTTATATAATGCAGTGTCTAGAGAGGGTCGGGGAGAAAGAGTAAGAAGAGAATTGAGTGTATAAGAAAGGAGACAGTTTGTTGATTGTTGTTTGTTGTATATACATATATATATTCTTTTTTTTGCGCTTTGTTTGTCTCCTTAGGCGATGATGATAATGAAGAAGAGCTGCAGAAGTTGAAGCAAAAAAAGACAGAAGAGAAGGGCAAGAAGAAGAAAGAAGTAGTTAATAAATCGTCTCTCGTCATTGAGGTCAAACCAGCAAGTAAGCATTATACTGTCTCCTGTCTCCTACTGCTGTTAGTGCTGTAGCTGCTGCTGCTGCTGCTGCTGCTGCAGCATTCATTTGGTCTATGTTGCACCCTCGTACAATAGAAAACTCTAGTGAGAGAAAGGAGACAGCAGCAGCAAAGGAGACAGCAGCAGCAGCAGAAGAGACAGTTGCTCTTTGTTTATTTATTTGCTGCAACAAAAGAAGCAGAGCAAGGAGACAGACAGACAGACAAACAGCAGCAGCAGCAGCAGCAATAGAGGAGACAGAAGCAGCAGTTGCAGCAAAGGAGAAAGAGAGCAGCGACAGCAGCAGCAAAAGAGACAGCCACTACATATGTACAAATATATATATATATATATATATATGTATATATATACATACATATATGTATATATACATATATATATACTCATATATAAATATATATATGCATATAGTATCTATACATATATATATATATATATATATATACATCTATACATACATGTATACATATATATAATATATATAATATATATATACATATATACATATATATATACATATATATATATATATTTGTGTTGATTATTGCAGACGCAGATGTAGACCTGGACGAGATAGCTCGGGCAGTAAAGAGCATAGAAATAGACGGGGTGACGTGGGGCGAAGCTGTAAAGAAGGTGCCGATAGCCTTCGGTCTATTTAAACTGCAGCTAAGTTGTACTATACTAGACGATGTTGTTGATACCTGTGAGATAACTAATACTATTGAGGCTTTAGGACTTACTGAGGAGCAAAAAGAAAAACTTAAACATAAACAAGAGACGGGTGATGATGATGATGATGATGATGATG